AAAGAAGCCACTGACTCTAAACGAGAAAAATTAGTAGAAGCAATTAATAATTTGCAAAGACAGTCTCTTATTAGCAAAATAGAGATTGCTGTGCAAAAAATAAATGACAGCATCAAAGGGCGGGGGGTTGAATTAATTGAAAATGAAAGTACAAGCAGAAGACTTAGCGACTGAAAAGAATTAATAAATAATAAAGATATTAGTTTGGAAGAAACAGAAAAAAAAATAAGGGAAGAATTAACAGTCGAGGTTTGTGCACTTCTTTCCGATCGCCTGGAATATCTTTGCCAAATTGCCCAAATAGAGTATAGAGAAATAGGAATCGAAACTAATATTCGAAGTTATTTTTTTATAGAAAACTATGAATTAGATGAATTAGCAGTCAAGGGTAGTGAAATTGCTAGGAGAATTATCGATATACGAAGTGGGCATGAAAGTGATGCGGTTCAGAATTCTATCGGCACTTTAAAAGAATTGATTAATAAAGAGAAGAGTGGAGATTTAGAGACACTTCACTCGGATTTGCGGAGGCTTCAAGATCTAATTCCGGTCACAGAGGAAGGAAAAACAGTTGCCAACAGGCAATTAACCTCCGCCGAAATAGAAGCTTATAGGCAAAATAAAAAAACAGCCGATGAGAAAGAGTTGGAACTGCGCAAAGAAATTTTCAGAAAAGAAGAGTCATCTCTAGGAGAGGAAAGGTGAAATAAAATTAATAAGGCAAACAACAGAGATGAATTTTTAAAGATAGAAAGACAACTTAATTATGAACGCAACGTAGAGAAAATACTGGAAAGTTGCAAAGAAAGATTGGAAGACAAAAATATCACAAAGGATGAATTATTAATTACAATTAGTGGTCTAAAGAGAAACGATAAATCTAACAGTGAAGGAGAATGAGGAAAAATTTTTCGAGGCAAAGGAAAAGAAATAAAACAAGTGATAAGGAGTTTAAAAAAGAAAATTGCTGAATTTGAATTTGCTGAATACATTGAAATAATTAATGGGGAAAATGATTTGCTAGCGATAGATAAAATAAAAGAGGATTGAAGTAATTACTTGATGCAAGAAGGGTTGATTGATAATCGAGATATGCCAGAGGGAAGAAGGATCAAAGATTTAGTAGAGGTAATAGAAAGGAGAAAAAAAGAGATAGTAGAACGAAAACCTTCCCAAAAAAAATCCGAAGCAGAAAAGTTGAATAAAATTGGAAAAGAAGCAGTTTTTTTTCAAAAACAATTAGCAGAAAGAGACATTATTTTAGAAGAGGATAGTTGGGCAAATAGGGTTTTAGAAATTATTGATGATAAAAAAGCGATGGAGGAAAAAGTTAAGCAGGCGGAGGGAATTTTAGGATTACAGTTGAAAAATTTAGAGGAGAGCAGCCCACCTTTAACTAATCTTTCTGAAACGGTTAATTTACTACCTAAAATTGGAATAAACTTAAAAAAAGGTGAAAATGGTCGAAACTACTATGATGCCGAAAGTCTAAGCAATAAATTGACCGAGTTAATAAGAAAAGAGGAAGAAAATAATTCATTGCGTGAGACAATTAAAACCAAGGGAGAAGAAATAGAACAACTTAAAAATGATTTAGATGTTGTAAAGGGGGAAAAAGAATCATTAACTATTTTTTTTTCCAAAAAAGGCAAAGATGTGGAAGATTCGAAAAAAGAAAACGAGGAGATGCAGCGGCAACTCTGACAAAAAGAAAATGAACTAAAAGCCGAAAAGGAAAAAGTTGCAGGCTGGGAGAAAAAAAATAAAGAATTAACCAATTCATTAAGTAATGCTCAAAAAGAAGTTGAAGACTTGCAAAAAATAATTGCTGAAAATGCTAATATAGCAAACAAAGAAGAGCAAGAGGACTTAGAAGCAATAGCCAGAAATTTAGGAATAGAAGAGCGGGAAGTGAAAGACAAGCCAGTTGAGGAAATACAAAAAATTATCAAAGAAAAAGCCGAGCAACTTCAGAGGGTCAAAAATAAAGTTGAAGAATTACCAAACTTGATAAATGCAGATGGGAAAGTTAGTGATGATAAACTAGAAAAATTAAAAAAATTAATTGAAAACCGTGAAAATACTGCCAAAAGAATTAGCGAATTAGAAAGTAAAGTCAAACAAGCCCAAACTTTCGGCTTAACTAATTGAGATGACTTAACTGCTCAAACCCAGAATGAAACACTGACAAGTTTATTAAACAGACCAAAAAGCAGTGAATTAGAAGCAGCAGCCAAAGCCCGGGATGCTGCCCAAGCCGATTTAGCCACTGAAAGAACTAATCACCAAAACACCCAGCAAACTTTAAAAACCTGAACTGACCGTTTTGGCACGGAAAATGCTACTGAGGCGGCTAATAAATTAGAAGATACGGCGAAAAAACTATCCGAGGCGGAAAAAGTATTGACCGATGAACAAACTGAACATGAAAAAACTAAAACCGCCTTAAATGCTGCCAACCAGGACAAAGATAAGGCTAATCAAATTGTTGATGAGGCAAAGGAAGCATTAGGAGTGGAGGATTTAGAAGATGATTTGCTCGATAAACTAAACGGCGATTCCCTACCAGAAATTATTGAGCAAAGAGATAAAGCCAACACCGCCAAGCTTGAGGCAGAAGCCCAATGAGACAAGGTCAACCAGGCCTTAAATAAGTGAAAAGAAAAGTTCGGTGATGATATTGCGGCTGCCGAAACAGAAAAAAACCAAACCAATGCTAATCTAAATAAGGCGAACAAAATCATAGATGAATGAAAAGACAAGACGGGAACAACCAATCCTGAGGCGGCTAAAACTAAAATAGAAAGTTTAGACCAAGCCGCCCGAGAGGCTAATGCGGCTCAAGCCAAAGTTGAAGCCGAGAAAACTGCCGCTGAAAGAGAAAGAGACACTCACCAAAATGATTTAGATAAATGAGCCAATGAGTTTGGCACGGATCAGGCAGCCACTGCCAAAACTAGATTAGACCAAGCCGAAAAAGACCGCGATGCCTACTTAGCAGCATTAAACAAAGCACAAGATAAACAAGATAAACAAGATAAATTAAATAATCTTATCGACCCTAAAGATTTAGATCAGAAAATAAAAGAGGTGCGAACCGAATATGAAGGATTTATTAACCCTAAAAATATTACCCCGGTCGACCAAAATACTTTAAGGGGAGTTGGTTATGTTCCCGCTACTGATTATCAAGGCTGAATTGACCCTAACCATAAAAAGACTCGCCAAGAAGCCGGATTAAAAACTGAGGACGAAGTAAATGTGGAGTTAGATAAAATAGCCCATCAATTAGGTTTAGGCAACCATAATGATTTAACCGATATTAATTTAGCAAATCTTCAAGCCGCAGAAAAGGAAAGAAATAATGCCCGCCGTTCCTTACGAACCGATAATCTAAACACTCTTCCGCCGATACCCGCCGGTGAAACCCTTCAAACTTTACTGGAACGACCCACTCAACCAGAACTAGTGGAAGCGGTTAACAACGCTCGCCAGCAGGAGGCTGAAAAGTATACTAATCACATTGACCCCCATAATTTAGAAGCGGAAGCTAAAAAGGCTGGTTTTGGCTTTACTCAGCAAGATATTGATGAGGCAGTTAAGGCCGAAAAAGAAAAATGAACTGGTTATGTTGACCCCGCAACTTATCGGGCTGATTGAATTGATTCTGAGGAGTATAAAAAAACAGAAGCAGCACTCACTAATGCTAACAATACCATCGTGACTGCCCAAAAACAGTTAGAAAATTTACAAAACCAGTTAGCAACTAAATTAGGGGTTGACTTTGCTAATTGAGAAAAGCAAATAGACAATTGACAAAAAGATTTAGCCCGCATTCCAGGTTTGGAGGGAAATCAAAAGCCAGACAACCTACCAGAGGACTGACAACAACAAATAGCCGATAGGAATAGATATTTACAAGAAAGAAACGCCCGCCCTGATATCACCCTTGAAACTTGAAATGATTACAAAGATAGACCAACTTTAAAACAGTATAATAGTCGTCCCGACACCACTATTGAGAATTATAATCGTATTTTAAATGATCAAAAACCGGGTGATTACGATGAAATTAAAAATGAACTGGAAAGGTGAAAAAATGGTGTGGGAGGTAAAGATTTACAGCAAGTTCAAAATGAACTAAATAGAATATCCGAATTAGAAAAAAGACCGGATATTCCGATTACTAAACAGGAATGGGAAAATGATTATAGACAAAGACCGACCCCAGAACAGTTAACCCAAGCAGTTCAAAAAGAAAAAGATAAATATTCAAATCATATTTCTCCGGAAAAATTAACCACTGATTACATAGCCAAAGATAAATTAGAGGAAGAAGCAAAAAAACAGGGAATGGTTCCGAAAGAGGATTATGATAAAGTAGTTAGGGAAAAAAATGCCCGACCTGACATTACCAAAGCAGACTGGGAAAATGATTACAGTAAACGACCAAAGCAAACTGATTTAGACCAGGCCAACAAGATAATTCAAGATTATGAGAATGATTTAAAAATTAAGTTAGGGTTGGATGATTTATCGGACTGAAAAGATGAAATAGATAGGTTGAAAAACCGACCTACTTCGGACAACTCTGGCGAAATTAAGACCATTTTAGGATTAGGCTCTACGGATAATTTACCAAATGATTGGCAAAATCAATTAGTCAAAAAAGATGACTTAGTAACCGTCCAAGATAATTTAAAAGAGTGAACCGACAAATTTGGTGATAAAACTGCTGACCAGGTGAAAAAAGAAAATGAAAAGGCAAAAACGGTCGATGATTTACAAAGGGAACTGGATGATTTAAGGTCTAAGCCAGCAGGTACAGCCCTTACAGCCGAACAGGAGAAGAAATTAAGTGAGTATGAAATAATGGTAAAATGATTCGAGAAAACTGAAGGAGATGAATGAAGGGCTTTCATTTTAGAAGAAAGCAAATAAAAAAATACTATGGTAAATGAACTAGCACAAGAATATTTAAAAAACAACTATACGACAGACAGAAACACATTAACAAAAATAGATAATTCAAAAAAAGCAGCAACAGGTGATAAACTAACCGGCAAACTGGAAATTAAAAATTATCCAGTCTTGACAGAGATTGATCTCGGCGATAATGAAATAACCGAATTAATCATTCGTAATTGTCCAAATTTAAAAAAAGTAAATGTTAAAAACAATAAAAAACTTAAATTACTGAAACTTGATGAAATAAATTTAGTAAATGGTTCCTCAGTTGCTAATAATCTAAGTGAGTTGACGTGTACGGATAATGAGGAACTTGAAACAATTTGATTTAGAAATTGTGATAATCTAAAAAATTTATTTATTAAGGGTTGTGGAAAACTTAAAAAAGTTAAGGGATTTGAAGAACTAGTTTCCCTTGACAGAATTATTAAAGAAAATACTCCAATTAGATATCTCCTTGAAGACAAATTGAAAGGATATCAAGAAGCCAAAGAAGTGGTTAAAGAAATAATTGATTTAACTCCGGATGGAAAATTGCCAGACTCAGTAAAAACCAATGGGAAGTTAGATAAAAATAAATTAAGGAATGAGTTAGAAAAGATGATTGTCGAAACTAAGACCCCCCAATTAAAAACCGACAAAGAAAATGCTGAAAAAGAACGGGATGCAGCCAAGACTGAGTTGAAAAGCACTAAAACCGAACACGACCAATTAAAACAAGAATCAACAAAAATAAGGAGTGAATTAGGTTTAGGAGAGAATGCAACCTTACAGCAAATTTTGGATGAAATAAACAAATTGAAGAATAGACCAACCAATGGTCCAGTTTGTACCCATAATGATTATGATGATATAAAGGCTGAACGAGATAGATTAAAAACCGAAAATACTAAACTAAAGGATGAAAATAAAGAGAATGCAGATATAGATGTAATTACTAAGAAGGTTTTGACAGAAAAAACCCACGAACTTTTTAGTAAATTAAATATTTCCAGTGCCAATAAATCAGAAATCAGTAATGC